GCTCCTCGCCCCCACCTTTAAACCCCTTAAAAACCTTGAACTCGGCACGGCGAATATCTATGCAACAGAAAAATGCAATCAGGCTCGGCCATAGGTAAACCCGAGCCCGGAGAGAATTTCCTCGGGGTCGCACCCAAGCCGGAGGGTTCTGCCGCCAGAAGTACAATGCGTGGTCAACAATGGTCGCCCGTCGGAGGTCAAAAGCAGCGCGACTTCGCTCCCCAGGCCCAGCGAGCGCCGAGCCCTCGCCGCGCACAAGCGCCACCAGTTCGGCCAGGTAGCCCAAGGTTAGCCGCGTACAAGGGAACAACACCGCACACATCGTTCCGTCCGTGGCGTTAACACCCACTTGGGCTAGAAGTTATAAGGGCTTTTTCTTCAGGGTAGCTGAGGAACCGGGCGAAGGTTGTCTCCTACAGAACAAAGCAAAAAAACAATAAAGTCGCCTAATTTTTGAGCCTAAAGAGGGCTAATTATACACCTTAAATCCCCGCCACGTGACGGCGGTCTGCGCGGGAACACCTTTTGTTTTTTCGGGACGAAAGATGACTTCGGCTAAGGGGTTAGCCCCCTGGAGGGCGGCCTGACGCCCCGACCGTCATATGCGCTCCATCACAAGCCGACTGTCACTTGGTTTCGCTTTCCTTCTTTATCTCCTCACCGCCAGTCGCCACCGCCGAATTAAACGACAGCAAACGGAAGTTTCCCTGAAAGGCCACCTTGGCCTAGACGAGAATTAAGTGCCCCCTTGTGAATTCAACGACCTTGATTCACGACCCTTGATGCTGCCAGTCGACCGCTTTCGCCGATTTCTTCGGCTCGCGCCACCGCGCGTGAACTCGCACGACCGCATGGGCGGACAGCGCGCATAGGGTCCACCGTCGCACTCGAGCCACGTTCCTCTTCCGGACACAGAGGAGTCTTGACTCGATTGCCGACGACCTCCCAATATGGGAAGCACCCTCAATTCGCGTCGCAGGTTACTCCCGCCCAAACCCAACGTAACCCGGACCATTTACCCAACCCCAACTGTTCCTTAACCCACCAAGGTTACTCACCCCGCCCAAGCTTCTCTGTTTGCCTAATGCACGCCACGTCAGACGGGTTTAAATGCCCAAGTTTGGATAACATAACACCATAACTCACGCGCAAGTAAAGAAATAAGAATCACAAGTACGACGTGGAGTTTTTACGGAACTCCGGCCCCCCCCCAACGTCCTTGCCAAATCCCTCCACCATCATACGCCAGGCATCCCTATTATGTCCCCTTCTCCTACAAAACACATAAAAACCATTTACAAGCCAAGAAAGAAATCCGTGGACCCCGCTAAACAAGGGTCTATAAGGGCTACAACAGTTGCGGTCCGTTTTAAAAACCCGGTTCAAAATAGACCGTAGTCTTACTAGACAATTGAATTTTAGCTGATTATGATTTACTACACCAAAAAACGACCATCCTCGAGTTTCCGAGTTTCACCCATACTATATTCTACTTATTACAACAGGTTTTTATGTTAATTTACTCATCCAAAAACAATTCATGTATGAAAGCACCGGCTGCCGCTCATGTACGGCGCGTAATTCACCCCGGACAGAACAGTTAACTAGCTCCGGGACCCCGTCGGAAAAGCGGGGCTGTTTGTCAGCGAGGACCCGCCCTGCAAAGGCCTCCCAGTTCCATTTCGGCGCGGGTCTAAAACATTACAACCGTACTGGAGTCCGTTTAGAACCGTCAGAACAAAAATGGGGGCGAAACATTTCCTACACCCCATTTCCTCCCTTCTTTCGCAAAATAAAAGAACTGTGAAAACTCCAGAGCGAATGTGGCTGATTTATGTATATTTAAAAACTTTTACGACAAGTGTTAATATCCGTATTGATCCGCCTCATTCCCTCATTCAATAAAAACTTACCTTAACGCAATTAAATTCGCGTAAATTTGCGTACACTCTTTACCGGGCGCGGGCGGTTGTGGGGCTGGTCCGGCCGCGGTCCCATACCGCCCCCACCCGTGTGGATATGGTCTTTTCAACCGCCGGTGGCGCTCTTTACTTTTAACACAATTTCATTCTCATTTTATTTCAGGCCGTTCGACGCCGGCCTCTTAAGTGCTGTCCATCCTGACCCCCTCCATCGGTTGAACAGACCTCCTATGGCTACCCTTGATCTTGGAACTTTTTAAAACAGTGCAATAGCCGTCCACTAGCACGAGAGTTACTTGTAGGAACTACTAATAGAAAGACGATTAGTTTCCTTAGTTCCTTATGCACTGAAAGCGACTCCTGACGGGGCCAACTATCCTAGTGTCCCACATAACGCATTTCCTCGGGGTGCCAAACTACGTCACTAATCCCAGAAAAGTAACCTGTTGTCTGTAAAAATTATTCTGTTGACTCCATACACTTTCCTATATGGCGGCCGAAAAAAGAAAAGAAAAGGTAAGGTGTCTGGTGCGAATATGTATTTCTTACCGGGTATAAAAACCTGTATTCAACTTACCACACAAATTAGTACTAATTAAAAATAAAATTCGACACTAATTAGACTAATTTTTAAACATTTAGCAAACTGTCGGGATTATAAATAGCCATATTTTCTGTAGTTTGTTCACCGTAAACGTATTATCCATTCACGGAAATGTCCTCTGTTAGCGACCCCGAAAGAGTTTCTTTAGGGCCCTACTTTTCTCTACGACCAAGGGGTCACGAAAAGAAATATATCTTCGAGACGACTATGTTCGGTTCCGGCCAGTCTTAAGTGAGTTACGAATGACGACCTTCCTATAAATAAATCTTACGTGTTATAAGGAAAAGTCGTGATCCAGAATTTACTTTTGTCTAGTGTTTTCTCGCCTCAACTGTTTCAGCATAAACACAGGGGTGGACGCCCTCTCAGCCCTGGTCTGGTGGAAACACTGGTAGAAGCTGAAGCCTTCCGAGTAAATCGACAGAACTCCAATACCTCCTCGTCTCCACCGCTCCCATGTTTTTTTTTGTGTTGCCATAAGTTAGTCTCTCTCCGTTGGGCTAATGCTAATGCTAATAATGCTAATGCCAATACAATGGCGGCTTCACAAAACTTTTCAGAGTTTTACGGGGCGCGGTTTGCAATTCGCCCAGCCAATCAGAAATTGGAACTTTTTTCTCCCCAGGGAAGTACCTGCTCGGGGGGAAAAGTTCTCATGAACTAAATACTCCGGTTTGAAAGCGCCTATTTACCTGTTAAGCCCCATGCCCCGGTACCAGGGGCTAAACGCAACATCTTGCAAGAATCAGCATCTGAGGGCTTCTTAACATTTAACAAACTATGAATGTGTCATACCCACTTAACGGTAATAAACTCAAATAACTGACGATATGAACAATTTTTACCGAAACAAAACACAACTCTAACGCCAAGCCTCTGAATTAGCACTAAGCGAAAGAGTGCTAACACACTTAGCACATAACTCACGGTAGAAATATGTTATACTTAATTGATTCTGCACATACAATATATCACATGAAAGCTGAGATTCCACATATTCCAATGGTATAGGTATCATCACTGTGCGACCAAAACTCGCGGCAGCGAAGGCGAAACCAGACAACACACAACTTGGCCAAAACGGCAAACACATTTTACAGTTGCTGTTTTCTGATCAAAAGCTGTGTTCAAGGGCATTAAAACGCATAAAAACGCTGCTGAAGGTTAATCCAATGTGTCTGTGTCATGTTGAAATGATTACTGATAATTCATCATAACATTTATGTCAAAAACAGAGTTTTCATATACAGTATAGCTGCTATGAGAGCTACGAGAGTGTATGAGAGCTTCCGGTTTTGGGCATGCTGGCTGCACATCATTCACCAATGGTAGTGTTTAGATGGATTTATGAACTTCCCCTCGATTCTATTGGCTCTAACGGTTCAAAAGTGGTGTCAATCACCAAAATCGACCGATGGGTTCCAGAGATATGACAAATACACCCAAATGACCTCAGAAGTGTTTTTTTTTTCTAAACCTCTCTAAAAAGGTCAAATTTAACTTGTTTTGCATCAATCTTGATACAGGGTACTTATTATATGTTGTACTTTGGATTCCTAAAGCTTTTAGTCTACTAACCCATCATCCAAGGTTAGTTTTCACTATAAGTACAAAATATATTTTGGACGGACACTATAATTTACAGTTTTTTACCATGTTCAATCTGAATTTTCTTTAAAATAAAAAACATCTATATTGATTCTGACTTTTCTCCATCCAACTCACAGGTTTATCATTACTTTGAGAAAAAAGATTATTAATTTAACCCTTTTAGAAGGGAAGATATGGTCATTTGTTCTGGGAATGTCATTTTCGAGCCTGAAACCTGAAAAACAGGCTTGGGGCTTAAGAGTTAAAGAAGGAAGAAAGGATAGCCATTCATGTTTTGAAATGAGTTATTGTAAATGAGTATTACAGCATTTTGGATTAAATGCTCACATATATTCACAAGTATTTTTTAGATTCTATTTGATATTATGTATTAAATATTTATTGTATTAACTGTAATATTATCATTTGTTTTTTACACAAATTGAGAATTTATGGTATTTTGTTTGCAAAATATGCAATCATGAGCTCATGCTGATATAGTCCCTGCTAGCACCTACAGTGGGGGACAATGTGTTTCTCAGTTTCTAGTCCCAAAACTGCAGTGTAAGCCCAAACAGTAAGTGACTGTTGGTTCAGAAAGAGGAGGCGCCCAGGGCTTTTCCGGTTCTGCTAGCACAACAGATTCAGTTTCACATGTAACTCGTGTTCCTTGTCCTATCTTTCAGCCATCGTCAACCCCAAGCAGGCCAAAGACAACAAGAGCTTCAACTTTGATTACTCCTACTGGTCCCATACCTCGGTAACTTTTCCTGCACCCCCACTACACACAGACACTCTGACAAAGACACATTTGCATCTCGATGAATCCCCATATGTCAGGTCTGTCAGGTTTATGAGAAAGTTAAAGATGTAAGTGACTGAATATTGATCCCTCTCCACAGCCAGAGGACATCAATTATGCCTCCCAGGTGCAAGTGTACAAAGACATCGGAGAGGAAATGTTGCTGCACGCGTTCGAGGGATACAACGTCTGCATCTTTGCTTACGGGCAGACAGGCTCTGGCAAGTCCTACACCATGATGGGGAAGCAGGACGTCAAGGACCAACAAGGAATCATTCCCCTGGTACACACTCCCTGGGATTACTTAAGACGTCCTGATTTGAAATGTCTCAGCATTGTGGTAATACATGTCTTTTCTTCTTCTTCCAGCTGTGTGAAGACCTTTTCACTAAGTTCAATGACAATGGAGACAACAGCAAGTCATATTCTGTGGAGGTAAGCGTCGGACTAATGCTAATACACTAAAGCAGATACAGGTATACTGTCTGTGCTGTAACACATGTTCAATGAAATATTATGAATCTGAACAGGTAAGCTACATGGAAATCTACTGTGAACGTGTGCGGGACTTACTGAACCCCAAGAACAAAGGAAACCTGCGAGTGCGAGAACATCCTCTGATGGGGCCCTATGTGGAGGATCTGTCCAAGCTGGCTGTCACCTCCTACAACGACATCCAGGACCTCATGGACTCTGGCAACAAGGCCAGGTGACCCAGCTATGTTTTCATTCAGTCCCTTCACTCGCTGTGTTTCCTCCTACCTGTAGTGCTATTTGTTATTCTTGATGTTTTGCTGTCATTTGCTGAGTGTTGGAGATAGTTTTGCCTTCTCTCCAATATAATGGAACCAGATGGCACTCGTGATTTCTGGATAGAAATGTTGCTGTTGAGTTTTTCGAAAAAAGTTTTTTTAGACACAGAATATCTCTAAAACAACCCACTTGATGACTAGCAGTACAGGTCAGATGAAAAATATGTATCTGTTCCTTTTTTAAGTCCTACATCCAACATCACAAATAACAAAGACATTTTGGCTGAGGTAGAGGAGAGGACATATACAGGACTGTCTCAGAAAATTAGAATATTGTGATAAAGTTCTTTATTTTCTGTAATGCAATTAAAAAAACAAAAATGTCATACATTCTGGATTCATTACAAATCAACTGAAATATTGCAAGCCTTTTATTATTTTAATATTGCTGATTATGGCATACAGCTTAAGAAAACTCAAAAATCCTATCTCAAAAAATTAGAATAGTTCCTCAGACCAAGTAAAAAAATAAGATTTATAACAGCAAAACACAATCAAACATTTGAAAATGTCCATTAATGCACTCAGTACTTGGTTGGGAATCCTTTTGCACGGATTACTGCATCAATGCGGCGTGGCATGGAGGCAATCAGCCTGTGGCATTGCTGAGGTGTTATGGATGCCCAGGATTCTTCAATAGCGGCCTTTAGCTCATTAGCATTGTTGGGTCTGGTGTCTTTCAGCTTCTTCTTCACAATACCCCACATATTCTCTATGGGGTTCAGGTCAGGGGAATTTGCAGGCCAATCGAGGACAGTAATGCCATGGTCAGTACACCAGTTACTGGTGGTTTTGGCACTGTGGGCAGGTGCCAGATCATGCTGGAAAATGAATTCCTCATCTCCATAGAGCTTTTCAGCGACGGAAGCATGTAGTGCTCTAAAATCTCTTGTACACGCTGCATTTACTCTGGGCTTGATGAAACACAGTGGACCAACACCGCAGCTGACATGGCTCCCCAAACCATCGCTGACTGTGGGAACTTCAAACTGGATTTCAAGCAACTTGGCTTGCTCCCCAAACCATCGCTGACTGTGGGAACTTCAAACTGGATTTCAAGCAACTTGGATTTTGCTCCTCTCCAGCCTTTCTCCAGACTCTGGCGCCTTGACTTCCAAATGAAATACAAAACTTGCTTTCGTCTGAAAAGAGGACTTTGGACCACTGTGCAACTGTCCAGTGCTTCTTTTCCTTAGCCCAAGTCAGACGCCTCTTCCGTTGTCTTGAGTTCAGAAGTGGCTTGACCATGGGAATACGGCTATTGTAGCCCATTTCCCGGACACGTCTGTGAACAGTGANAAAAGCCAAAGCAATAGGTTTTCAGTCTCGATTTAAAAATAGTAAGCGTTTCTGCGGACGTGCATGATTTCGGTAGTTTGTTCCAGATTGTCGGGGCATAATAGCTAAATGCTGCCTCTCCATGTTTTGTTGTTACTCTCGGAACCGATGGCAGACCCTTCCCAGAAGACCTGAGGCCCCTTGATGGCTCGTAATTATGCAGGAGTTCAACAATATACTTTGGTCCTAAACCATGTAATGATTTAAAAAGTAGCAATAGAACTTTAAAATCAATTCTTTGGCCGACTGGAAGCCAGTGTAAAGATTTCAGAACCGGACTGATGTGATCCACTCTTTTAGTGTTAGTGAGGACTCGTGCAGCAGCGTTCTGTATCAGCTGCAGCTTTCTGATGGATTTTTTTGTCAGCCCTGTGAATGACACTATTGCAGTAGTCGAGTCTACTGAAGATAAAAGCATGGACAAGCTTTTCTAAGTCCTGTTGTGACATTAGTTTTTTAATCCTAGATATATTCTTCAGGTGATATGCGGACCTAATAACTGTTGAAATGTGACTGTTAAAATTCAGGTCTGAGATTTCTTGCTTTATTACTTGTTTTGTAGTCTGCCAACTGAAGCTCTGCGATTACTTTTAATCGGTCCTTCTTTGCTCCAAAAACAATGATCTCAGTTTTTTGTTTGTTCAATTGGAGAAAGTTCTTAGTCATCCAGTCATTGATGTGCTCAATGCACTTGTCACTGTACCATGACAACTCTTTACCCAGCTACAGTCTGTGTGTGACATCTCTTATTGGGATAAATAATTATAAATGATACTGTAACTGCGTCTGGCTGTTAGCACTGATCTCTGTGAATTTGACTGTTTTTGCCATAAGGCTCATTTGTATAGGAAGAAGGCATATTTTTTCTCAAATGCATGTATGTTGTTAAAACATTGAAAGTTGTGCAAATAGCACAAGAGCATAGAGACGCTATTTGTTTATCAGCAGTTAGAAATGCATCTCGTCCTAAGTAGGTGCTTGGGAAATGACACATTTTAGTTTTTTCCTATTTGTGCAGGTTTATCGACCGCAACAAGGTGCAAGTCACTGATCAATTTGCCTCTCAGGTGTTTTGTTGCATGAAGAATTATGCATGCACGATCTATGTTTATGATTTGAAGGCAATGATTTGGTTTGGGCACGGAATCATCCTGCCTATTCTGACTACAGAGCTACTGTCGTTCCACCTTGACATTTTTTTGCAGAAAGCATCAGTCTGGAGTGCCAGATTTACGCCAAGTAGGAATATAGACAAAAACACACACTCCCAAACACAATGACACGCTCACCCATTAAATACAATTACCCTCACATGTGTTATTGTTGACCTCATCGGCTGAGGGTCCCAGCTCTGCGATCTGCCCCTCCCCCTCCACAATACGGAGCTCCTCCTGTGAAACCCCTGTGTGGGATAGTCCCACAGAGCAGGACTCGGACTGGAACTGCAAAAGCAGGTTGATGAGCAGCCTGGTTAGCAGGTGAGCATATCACAGTTCATCCTGTATGTTCTAAGTATGGTGTTTTTTCTCTACCTTTTCATATTGCTTATCCTCAAAGGAGATTTTGGCAGTGCCTGACTGCCTCACTCCTGAGCCGTAGTCTGGAGCTTCCTCGTCAGCTGGAGGAAAACACAGAGCACCTTCACTTCACTCCCTCAAGAAGTCACACACAACCTGTCCTTGTGATAGCCTCATGCCCCTACTAATCAAAAGCAGTGGGGCTAGGGATGCTGACCTTACCTGATATAGCCTGCACCGCCACTCGCAGGAAGCCCTTCACCTCGCCCTTCTCACTCACGATGGCCACCCGGTGGACCAGAGGAACTGGATACAGCAGGTTGCTCAGATAAACAAAAGCCCTGGATAGGAAGCAGAAAGAGATAGCAAGAGAGATGATACAATCTTAAAAACAAGTATTACACTTTTATTAAACATTACTGAACAGGACAACAGAACATAGAGCTGCAAAGCAACCAAACAGAAGCTGGGACTGCTCTTGCGACGGCCATGGCTGCCCTTTACTATCGCTGTGTGGGGGCTTCTCCTCACCACCTATAGATAAGGACATTAACAAGACAAGTATGGGTCTCATGCAGTATTGCTTAACTTGTACTGATGACATTTTGGTGAGGCTAAGGAGCATGTGTGTAAGGGTCAACTTTACATTCTTTAAATGAGTGCAAACTATGGTAAACCAGCTCACTAAGCTGGACAGCAATGCATATCTACTTATAAGCAATCAAATCCATCCCTGAAATCATGTTTTTTTAATGTTTAATGATTATTAGCTACGGCACAAAGATTTGCATTGTGCTTCAATTTGAAAATATTACACTAAGTCAAGTGTATCATAAAGACTAACAATGTCTATCTAATCTAATAAACAATCTAATAAATGTGTGTTTACTCAAAATCCTACTATTTCCTGTTTTTTCGATATACTTGATCTTGCAGTCAAGGTGTGCATTTTCTCATGGGGGGTAGAAATGTGGTGACAAGTGTAAAAAGGGAGAGGCTTAAGACAAGATTGGTGAGGTGCAAAGAAGGCATGCTCAGGACAAAAAAAAGGAGAACAACAAATGCGTTCAACTTCTTGACTTAAATGAATCAAAAGCAAATGGAACAGAAATCATCATAGGTAACATAGCTCAGCCCGAATCAAAAGCTGCCAACAGTTTGATATAGTGAATGCTACAGCAAAAAACTAAAACACGAATGACATCAGAAAACAAAGTGCACCCCGGGCGGAAAGTGCTAATTTGTGCAGAGGGGCACTAGTTCCTCTTCAGATGAATTTAAGTAAAAAAATTGACAAAAAAGGTCAAAATGAAAAGACTTGTGCTCTGGCATGCCTAAAAGAGACAGCTGCAGTAGAAACCAGCTCTTTCATCTTGAGATTTTGAGTCTTCTTGAACACCATTTTGCGATTTCACGAGTCACTCATACTCATTCAGGTTTCACAGCAGGGAGAGAAGATTTTGCTGTTGGTTCCTGTGTTATGCAAATCAGACTGAATATTACTCCATGAGACATGTCAGTGCTTTATGAGTGAATGGTCTTCTGTAAAAGCCACAAGATTGCTTTTAGCCACAGATAAGTGAGACATACACTTCAAGCAGTGGTTGAGCATCAACTTTGCTTGAATTTCCATGGAAACAAGTGAATTGACCCCACCCTGGGCTGACATAAACAACTTGTTCTGAATTGTAATATGCAGAAAAAGAATTTAACCTGTTTAGTGCGAAAAACAAAACAGTTAGCAACAAAAGAAAACCAACAAAGACAAGCAACGTTCACATTTTTTATGAGATAAAAATGTAAAACAAAGGATAAACCTCAAAGCCCAGAAATGTCTACTCCAGTGTCTACGAATGCATAATCATGTTCATGAAAAAATATGTGTATTGGTGTGAAATTTGAGAACAATTGTGTCTTATTCATGAGGCAAAATGACAGTGACAGCTGTGACGGAGAATAGAAACTAAAGTGGTGAACTGGACTTGCGGGAAGTGTTTAAAAGGTCAGTTCAGCTCAGGATCCAAAATACCTATTCTCCCTCTTAACTGTAGTGCTATTTATCAATGAAGATTGTTTTGGTGTGAGTTGCTAAATGTTGAAGACATTGAGCTGTAGAGATGACTGCTTTCTCTCCACTGCCACTAGATTGCTAGTTTGAAAAAGTGCCGACAAAATATATTTGGAAAAACTCAACAGGAATTTCTCTTTCCAGAAATCCTAACAAGGTAACTCAAGATCATCCTCAGACCTTGTGAGTAGTTTCATGCAGACATTCTTTCTTTACCCACAAACAGTATCACATGACAGAAGAGGCTGGTGACAGTGAGCAGATGGAACATTAGCTAGCTCTGGAGAGCCTTTGTCCATAAGTAAATGGACGCTTCATCGCGCGACGCGCTGTGAGAAGGTTGTCGGGTGTAGCTCAGTAGAAAGAATATGGATTCTACATAAAACTGCTCACAACACGGTTTATTGATAGCTTAAGTAACCTAAGCTTAAAAAATAAACATTGCTGCTGCTAGTCCAATGTCTTTTTGCTGCCTTGAGCACCAGAGGCCGCTAGGGAGAGGGCAAACATATCTAAGAAGACCGATATCTCCTGGCAACAAACACCAAAGCAATTTATACTGATAAGCAAGAGGGAAAACATGTATTTAGATTTTGGGGTGAACTGTCACTTTAAGAATGTTTTTTCAAATCTACACTAGAGTTAGCCAACTTAAATGTCTCCATGTTGATATTACAGCTATTATTATTACTAGCTTCCTTGACCCAATTGGACAGTAGAGTAAAAAAGGGTCTTTGTAAAAACCCTCTGACATCTGAATCTGTGTCATGCTTTGTCTTCAAAAATGTGGTTTCCTCTGTGCTGATGTCTACTGCAGGACACAGACCCCGTGTCTCAGCGTGAAAGAGCTAGTTTCCTCCACCAGCATGCTCCTGAAACCTCACCAACCTTCCCACTACACTGAATAATGGTGAGCGGTCGTAAAAGGGATCCTGGCCTTCGCCGGAGCCACGGCAGAGCTCTCTCTCATCATCATATCCATCATCATCATCATCATCATCATCATCCTCTCCCCCGAGCTCCGAGCACGGGTCGTCCAAAAAGATATCATCGTCCAGGTCCTCCAACTCTTCCAACTCCTCCTTCTCCCCTCGACCCTCCCTCTGCGGCTCAGCCAGCTCGGTAATTTCAGAGTTGGAGAGGGTCGGGGATGGAGTAGGGTCACTCATGCGCTCGCTCATGCATGTGTTGAAAATGGGGTTTCTGGTGCAGCCAGAGACATGGGAACTAGGTTAGAACAGTTAGAGAAAGTACACACTTCGAACAAGAGGGGGCTTTCACTGTCTGTTTCAGTGTGTACAGTGGAGCCATAGAGGAGTACGACAGTGCAATAGGGCCATTGTAGGTAGGAAAAAGATGTACATAAATAACAAAGCCAGGGGGAATTAATATTACGAGAAGAAGTCGTTCATTTCATAGAATTGCCTCAAATATTGTCTGAGGATATTGAGTCATTCATTTAGTCTTGTCAAGAATCCACCTTCACAGGTGCTGCATGTAAAAAGAGAAGCCCCCCTCACAGGTTGGTGAGGGGGAGCAGCAGCATGGAACTGTTGTGTTGCAGTTCCTGGTGCACAGAGGCTCATCAAAATCACCATGTGGTTTCCTTATGAATAGTAATGAAAAGTGTGTATATTTATGATAATATGGTATTTCTGGTCTAAAATCATTTGTTTTTCCAAAAAGCTTTAACCAATAGCATTATCTAAATGTGTTCAGCTCATCCATTGCAGGCACAGTAATCTGTGGTACAGTATGATGAGGTTGACCCAAACTATTTAAAAGTGATAAACGTGGTTTCAACACACAGAGGTTGTTGTTTTTTTAAACGAGACTATTATTCTAGGGAATGCTCAGGTTTTTTGTACATTTCGGATTTTTTAAATAGTAAACAGTACCACTTGAATCTCAGACATTATGAGTTTTCTCTCTGAATATTACCCCCCTCCACTTTTCTAACCTACAAAGGCCCCAGTGCGCTGTTGTAGAGAACAGATGGGGCAGGACGAGCTTGCCAGGAAGAAGATGATGATTGACAGCCTGTAGAACAAAGATAAGCTTCCACAGAAGCAAAGGTAGGGTGATCTTATTTGTGTTTATTCAAAAGCATTTATAAATGTGACAAATCATTTACCTTAAGTTATTCATAACTGCTGTTGTAAAATACTAAATGAATATGAGAATCATTTCAATACAGTATACCATCAATGGTCTATGAATAACTGTGATTGCTCTCCATCAGGAGTTTACTGAGCCTAGCTATCTGCTGGTAAGCTTACAAAGCTTTGGTGTCTTTAAAGTTCTAGGTGTGAATACACACACCAAATAAAAGGTTTGAGTACAACTTTAGTTGATTGCTGGTAAGTCATTTGTCCAGAAAAATTATGTTGTATTACATGTGGTGCCAGTATTACTCATTTATTGAAAGAAAGAAAAAAACTAATCAACATAGGGGACATTTTTCAGCCTAATAATTTTTGCTTGTATTGCAGGAGCTAAATGTTATTAAAGGCTTGATGATGTATTTTAAGTAACAGGGCCGTGTGACAGAGAGAGAGAGAGAGAGAGAGGGAGAGGGAGAGAGAGAGAGAGAGAGAGAGCTTGGTAAAGAGGTGTGTGCCAAAGTGTGAGAGAAACAAACAGCAGGCTCTGAGTGGGAGGACTGATGAAACCTTGCATTAAAATGTTTCACGGCTGATTTTCTCATTAATGAAGACATGCCTGGCAGCACGACATGTACCAATCATTACAATTGGGTGTCTGTATCTGTCCTTTGAAGCTGTGAGCTATGTTGAGGATAAATACACTGGTTATCAGAAAAGAAGAGTAGTTATTAATAAAGCACATAGGATGTACAAGTTGAAATTGACAGTGAGTTCAATCTTCTCAGGTATGAGAGGATATGGTACATTTAAATATGCTCAATTGATACTTTTTTGATGATACCAAGTTAGTTCTTCATACAAATACAATTTTCTTGAAAACTTCCTTGAATTGAAATAGGTTTGATGATAGTAATGCAAATGACAGCCATCAGTATGTTATAACGAAGATACCATAATGACTACTTCACGCTGATGTCTCAGTCATTATGCTCCATTAGTTGACCCCATTCACAACATGTGCTAGTCTTGGCCCACAGCCTCCCATCCTCCTGGATGGAGTGACTAACATCTGTTTGCTCGTTGTTTTTGACATTTGTATGAGTTTGAAGGTTTTCCTGTGTAGGCCAATGGTGTTCAGCATTTACCTGCCAACCAGACGGAACCAGGGGAAGCGGTCATAAAAGGGGTCTCCTCCGGTCATCACATTTTCACCGTCTTCAGTGGTGTTGTTGGGTACATCAGCAGCGCGATCGTACATTTCTCTCATCAGGTTCAGTCTTTGCCTGCAAAAGCAGCAACAGTTGCCATATATAGATATATATATACATATACATACATATAGTCATCATGCTGAAATTAAGCAGTTTTCTTCCCATGAAAACTGTGATATTAATGAGGAAGACCCAGTCCACATGCAAACAGAATTTTAGGACCATAAAACTAAGATTTGTGAAAATGTCTTTGGAGAAACTAAGGCTTTATGGGTTTAAGAATCTTGCACATGTTGACTGCATGAGGGGGTTGAAACTCTGACCTTCCAATTCCAATTGGAACAAAAGGGGAAAAGGTTCAGTAGACATGCTCGTAATATAGCATCTGAAGTCGTTGTGTGGTTCTTTTGTAGATCGTAAAATTAAGACAAATATATTTTTACATTAAGCTCAAAAATATCTTTCTACTAAAATGTTCATGATGTAAACATGGCCTAATGCTTTTGATAAATTGACGGTTTATCAGTATACTTTTAAAACAATGTTGGCTAAGGACTTCGGTACATGTTGATGTACCTCAGTTTTTCTAATGTCCAGTAGTGAGTGGCTCCATTTTTCTGATCCTGCACCTCCACGGCCAGAATGGTGCGTGGGAACTGTCTCTTCTCTATGTCCTTAGCTTCCTCTGGGGGCAGCAGGTCTGGAGGCAGGGGGGAGTAAAGGGTGTCTGTGAGCAGCACAAACTGGAACTGGACCTGTAGAGGCACAAAAACATTGCTTTTGTCAGAGGGATATAATATAACATCAATATGGGTATACGTTGAAATGAAGAGAGCACTATGGACCTTCTTCTTAAGCTCCACACTGATGGCGTTGGCCTCCTTCAGGAAGATGGCGTTCCCCCACAGCAGGTCCCTCAGAGAGGTGAACTGGTAGCAGCGCCACTTACGGAAGCTCCACACAGCCAGCTCTAGTTCCCTCTCTGTCCATTGCACTGTGCGGAGAAAGGATACAACATCATAATTTGGTAGAGTTGCATACCACCAACATCGATATGTGTGTGTCTCCAATAAAATGCACTACCTTCCTCTTCTGGCTCCTCCTCATCTTCAAGGGTTTCTGGGTAGTAACTGTCCACTTGCTTCTGAAGAGCCTCCAGCTTGCTCTCATAATCCTAGAGCATTCATTAATGAAGACCAACGTCAACAAAAGATACTGAGGAACACAGACAGTTTAATAACTCTGATGTCAGGGAGTCTGGTTGATTGTCATTATCGTTAAAAGGAGAAAGCAAAGTCCGTTGAAAAATAAATTGTTTTTATTGTAATATCCACATTTTCTTCTTGCTAATTTAATACTTTTATCTACTTTTCTATTGGGGGTTAGGGTTAAGGTTAGGGTTAGCATAACATATAACCTGCAATGACAATCATTTTTTAATTTGTTTTATCAATGTTTGCTCTCTCTCTTTTATTTTACAGAAAAATACTCGGAATGAAGCTATATTAAACATCCACTTCCCTATGGCTTTAATATGTATTGTCAACAGCACACACAGCTGCTCATCACTGTACCAGTCTTTGCTGCTCCAGGAGGTTGTTTGTTTCCTCTCTTTCTTTACGATACTGGTCCTCCAGCTCCTGCAGCCTGAACACACAAACATCAGAGAACAAAACAGGTTCTAAGAAGTAATGCACCACTTTGGATTTCACACCACTGCTGGTAAGTATCTGGAGTGCACTGTACTGAAGGCTTCTTTCATTTGGCATGTATCAACGTTTGAACTACCAGTAATATTCCTCCATGTCTTTCCTTCTTATCAGTTCCTGTCTACAATATGGTAGTGAGGAACTTTTATGCCACGCCCAATGCCTCTCTTAAAAAATCCAATTAAATATCTAAGTGTTTCTCCCAAAGTACCTCTGTTCCATTTCCTGTTTCATGTCGATGCCCTGTTTGTCCAGCAGCTCCCTCTGAGCGAAGGCCCAGTCCACCGGCTCAGCGGGGGTCTCTGCACACGGAGTCCTCTCCCTCTCAGCCCTGGCCTGCTCAGGGTGGTTGAACCGGAACACATGGCTCTTCCCCAGGATGATTCGATTTCCTTTTGGGAAATAAATAATGCAAAAAAGTACATATACTGTAGAATATACCCCATACATATTTCTACTAGTTACCGTGCGGAAACAAGCAAGATACAAATATTCTCTCCCGTTTTGTTTTGAACCTGTGAAACAGATTACAGTTTAGTCTACTACATTTTTATTTTTTTTATTATTTGTTAGTCCACAATCGCAAAGGAGATCATTCTCATCTTCTCTAAGGACTTCCGTAGCATCATGTGTAAGGAAAGATGTCATTCACAGAGGGCTTGCTGACCTGATTTAAGGACAGTGGGCTCTGCCACTCTCTTTCCGTTGACATAAGTCTCAGCTCCTTCACAGGGCTCCAGGACAACTGCTGTTAGGCACAGAGGGCAATATGAGGCTTCACTTCCTCTCTGTCAAAATTAAACTCTGCTGTACACAGGCCGTGAATGTAATATAAAATGTCTCACTCTCTCCCATTGGACCAGTAGAACTGGTGAAGGTGCAGTGCTCATCCTTGATGAAATGTCCGCTGAGGACTATATCCTGACGACTGTTGGCGTCTACACGACCTACCCTAAAACAAAAAGGGAGACATGATGTCAGAGAAAACAATAAGGTACTGAACATGCATTAAAAGGTCAATTGGACCATACTTGTTTTGTGTCTGACAACAATATGGTGAGGAGAGTACAACCTCATCAACGTGGTCGAATCAGCTGAATATTTAGCTCTGATTTAAAAAATATTTGAGTGAACACTCAGCTACGCTTTCTTTACTCTAACATAACAAACTCTTCCAGGCACATCTCTCTCCATCTGTCCATCAAGTCTCCACTGTTAACTAAGACCTGGCAAGACGAAATGAGAAACAGAACAGATTTGCGAAAGGTAGAATTCACTGTAGATCAGACACCTACAATAACAATCTGGGCCTGTCAGTGACTAAACTAGCACTTCAAGGGGACGTTCATTGATGGGGCAGAATACCCGATAGGACTACAAGCAGCCCGTTTCACAGCTGACAGCTATACCAAAAAGAGTCCAGGTTGAAGAATGCAAAACCAGTCTTCTTTCAGCACTTCATCTGGACCTATAAGAACATCCGTCCATCAGTAACCAACCTGGTGATCCCGTCTTTAATGTAGTACAGCAGGCACTCAGACATCAGAGGATCCTCGTTTAGATTCACCAGATGAGGCGTCTGTTGAGGAATAAAGGATAATTAGCTCATATCATTTACATAGATCATTCATTACCCATATGTTATGTACAATATAACATGTGCATAAAAAGCACATCAGAGAGCACATCAGAGAGCTGAAAGGCAATCTTTCCCAATAACAAACATCAAACAATCAGAGCTAGTTAAAGCATGCACAGCTCCACAGCAGGAGTGTTTCAGTCTGCTGCTGTGGAGCTGCAGGCAAACAGCCATAAATCACTGAAATGGGGACACTAGCATTATCTAGTCCCTGTGTTTACACCCATTGCTGTCTTGAGCGCAGTGAGGGAGTGTTTGGAGTAAGTAATGAAGAAGATTTCAGATAACACTTAATGAAAAAGAGAAACCCTCGACTGATCTGCATCTGATGCTTCTGTTGAAGTGAGAGAGCACTCAGAGAAGGAGGCAGCTTTAAACACTTCACAGCTACAAACCTCGTTGGGGGAAAACAGCCCGACTGTGTCGATAAACACAGGCTGGGGCCTACTAGGGTTATCCGATGGCTTTGGGGTAAATAAACAAGCATTTCAGTCAATCGTTTCAATGGTAATCACAGAGGGCTTTACAGAGGTCTCATATTGGTTTACCTTCTTAGGAGAAAACACACCCACTGTCCCTCCGTCTTCTCGCATTGCTACACCCATTTCTGCCAGCAAGGCCTCTCTGTGGATGAACATCAGACTCATTATACAAAGAGGTCAAGATACCTCATTTATCAACATACAGTATGCTACAGTATATTGTTAAATACTTCATAAGTAGCTAAAACCTGAGGCCAAGGAGTAAAAAAAAAAGGCAATGTTATGTTGTTTATCTCACCTTTCCATTCTGATGGCCTCCGTTCGGCGAAGTTTCTCCTCCCAAGTCTCATTGAGTTCAGCAATGATTTTCTCTGTTTCCTGATATTTTAAAACACAGTGGTAATTAAAGCAAGTCTTTTCAATAACAGCTCTAGTGTTCTATTTGTCTCTTTTTGACAACAAATACCATGAAATCATGAAATGCTTTGAAGTTCCATTGTTTGTCGATAAACTTTAAAGATCATTAATGAGCCAGGGTCAGGATAGATGTGGGCACCGTAGTTTATTATTAGGCCATCCCACATTCAGTGCAGGGCCCTGCTAGAACTAATACTCAGCTTAAAATAAAAATGATTTCATGTTTGAGCCACTGTGAGAATACTTCTCCCTCACATAATGCCATCCCTCTACTATCAATTCAATACAGGTATAAAAGTCTCCCAAAAATATTGGAGTGGCATTCACAAATCATCAAGCACAATATTCAAGCCTCAAATCTCCCTAACCTTGGAAACTTTGAATCTGTGCTACAATGTGGAGAAATCCAGTAAAACCTACGCTGAAAGTGTGAGTTACGGCCCAAACAAACTGTATTTCTTAATATGTCCTTCTGGGCATATGCAAATATACATGTATAATAAAATAAACTAGAAACGTTTTTTAAATATGAAAAAGCTTTCTCAACAATATTGCCTTTTTCAAATAAAACATTTATATTTTAAAAAAGCTTCCCAAAATACTCTTAACTTAACTTGACTTGAAATGTATCTTGATATGATCTGACCATGTGTGGCTGCTACCTGCAGTACAGTCACACTGTGTAAACGCGGAGTTAATAAACAGCAGAGTGTATTATCCGCGCTCACCTTCAGCCTCTCGATGGCCTCCTCGCTGCCCGGGCTGAACATGATGCGGTCGTGCAGACTGGCGATGGATCCGGCCCGGCTGGAAAGGACTGAGAGAGACGGAGAGGGACTCATCCCCGTCATGGCATTGGTCACTGTGGAGAAATCATCCCTTTGATTCACAGCTTGGCCATTACAGTTATTGTTCGTGTGATCGGATAGGTCTGGCGGGGTGTGCACAGGAAGTGGGGTTGGGGTAATCAATAGTATTGGAGTAAAGTAATAGAGAAATGCAAACATAAAAGGAAGAGAAGAGAAGGAGAGATAGGAAGGAAAAAGAAAGAAGATATGTGGCTTGAAACAAGTCTAACCCACAGAGAGAATATTCAATTGCTAGTGTGCAAGCGAGGGCAGCAGCAGCAGAAAGCCACGCACAGGGGGGGGGCGATAAGAGATGCAACAAGGATACCGTCCAGCCAAGACCAAAGAAAAAGTAGGTATTACATAAAACCATCAAGCAGGAAATATTTAAATGAAAAAAATGCTATTACCTGAATAAACATTGCTTATTTGCTCTTCGAAAAAAATAAAATCTTCTTTTAAGGAATGAAATTGCTCCAACCCAATCAAGCAAAAATAAAATGAGTCATGGAATACCAAATATATTAGCTGGGCAGCCCTTTGTGCACAGACAGAATGACTCATTTGTTATAGGGTCTCTGTCACGATTTTAGTTTTGTCTGTTTAGTCATGGTTTTACTTTGAAATTCTGTTCTCCCTGTGTCTTGTTTTCCTTCCTGTGTTTTTCTTCCTCTGTTTGATTGTCTGATTGTGTTCACCTGTTGCCCTTGTTTTTCTGCCTCCCCTGCCCAGATGTGTCTTGTCCTGTGATTACCCTTCTGTGTATTTAGTCTTGTCTTCCCCTGTGCTCCATGTCGGTTCGTTGTCTTTTCTCACTCTCCATGTTTGTCACTTACCTCATGCTACCTGTTCATGATTCATGGTTTTTGTCTTTTCATGCCAACAGCTTTGTTTAAATAAAGCTCACTTTTGTTTTGAAACCCGCTTCCCTTTTTAAACTGCATTTGAGACCTAATGTTCAGTGACAGTCTCATTTCCTGCAGAGAACATTGGGAAGCCAGAACTCTAAATGAAGATAAATATCTAAAAGAAGCAAGATGCATGTCATGCTGAGTGTGCCTCACAAATTATAAAATGTCAAACAAATGACTGAAAGCAGAAATCCATTTCTCTGGCAGAGGTTCAGACATGATGGTAAGCTTATTTTGATCGCAGTGAAACTTCAGTCTTCAGTGGACATTTATGTTTAATTTGTATTTAATCAAGATAGTCTACCAACACAGCTCACTTGGCATAATGTTTCCTGTTTTCTGTTCAGTGTTTTATTGTTGTGGCACCTTGAAGGCATATGACAGATACAAAAAAAAATATCAACCCTGCAGCTGCTGCTATGGCAACACAGAGCAATACATTGGAAAAGTGTATCACAGCCATCCATCTGGACAGGCTGCTGCTTGCCAAGATGGATCACATAATATCGCTTTTGCAGTGCAGTTAATAAAGTTATGTATTATAGGAAGACAGTAAAAATGTACGGAAGCAAATTAGATGATGAACTCGCGAGATAAGTGATTATAATCTGTGTGACTGATGCTGCAGCAGCATCTATGAATGCATACAGGAGGCGATAGTCAGGGAGATTTCTACATCAGTGAAATCAAAGATAGAGATTAAACATTTCTCATTGTCCATAATCTTGCATATAGTTGCTCTGCGATGTTACTTCATGAACAATTAAGATATGTCCAACCAATGCCACTACCAATGCCACTGCAATGAAGCAATATAGAGATGTATACTGCCCTATGACATGGCATATTCAAGGTAAGAACCAAAAGAAAAATATGCTTGAATCCCCCTCACACCGGGACTTTGCTGTGTATATGACATTAGTATTCCCGTGCGACTTGCCTAGGAACATTGTGACTGATTATTTATGTCGTGCTGCTCCAGATCACACAGAAACTCTAATGTTTGCGTTCACATTAAGCGCTTGTGATGCTGAGCTGCCAGAAGAGCAAAAGCAAAAGCCAGAAAACCAAAGCAGGAAACACACATTTCAAACCCTCAATGTCAGCACCAGACGCTCGGTACGCTGGGAGAAGAGAAGAGGAAGAGAAAAACAGACAGCGTGACACCTTAAAGAATATTCATGGATTCTGATATTCTCTTTAAGTTGCTGGGGAACATAAACACAGTTTTGACTAGATGTGTTTTAATGTAACATTATATCTCTTTCATTTACAGGCAGACCAGAATTCACACCTCTGTCATTCAATGAAGAAGAAGAAGACAAAGTGAATATACTTTTTGTGCTATTTGAATAAAATAGCTAGATACATTTACCCTAATGCACCTGAAGAGCATCTTTCCATTAGACCCTCCGTGTTAATGCCCACAATTTCAAACTCCTCTCCTCCAAAAGACCTTCTTACACATTCTAACGCTAGCTAGCCTGAGGTACAAGCTCCAGAAAATCACCCTTGTAACGAGGTCACCCCTATTCTCCCAGGGTCCTATGTTCCCCCCCGCTCTATAAAAAACACAATGGGAAACCTGAAAGATGTTCCCCAGCTTTGTATTCGCTTAATATGACATGGAATATAGTGGGAACTCATTACAGAGGTTTTCTGTTCTCCTTGTGGCCTTTCATTTAGTATTCCAACAATTTGGCTTAATGCTACCTCAGCTGAAACCAGACTAGCACACTCACACTTCACCTCTGTCTTCTAACTGATATAAAAACATGACATCATGTTATAAATTAATATATAACATAATTACATTTGTATTGAATAAAAAGCCTAAAAACTAAACAAAATTATAACTATTGGTTTTGTTGTGTTTATATAGCTGTTTTAGGGCCTTGTTTCAAAAACTGATAACGTAATTTATATTAACAGAACATTGAACTGGGGAACATTAGCCGCTTTCACACCAAGTACTTTGCCGTACTTAGTTCCCAGGACTTAGTACCCCCATGGAACTAAGAGCCGATCGCGTTCACCCGGAAAAAATTCCCTCAGGGAAGATTACGCAAATGGAGCCGCTGAAGCTTCTGCTTTGGGTTTACTGGCAGGCCGCAAACAACTTCACGGCGTATACTGCCACCCGAAGTCCCCGGCCGGAAGTCCCCAGAGTTGGGGACTGTCTTCAGTAGAAGCTGCTGGGCCTTCCGAATAAATCGCCAGAACGCCAACACCTCCTCATCTCCAAAGTTTTTTTTGTGTTGCCATAAGTTATTCTCTCTCCGTTGGTGCGCGGGGCTAATGCTAATGCTAATAATGCTAATGCCAGCAAATACAATGGCGACTTCAAAAAAACGTTTCCGAGTTTTACGGGGCGTGGTTTGCAATTCAGAAATTGGAACTTTTTTCTCCCCGGGAAAGTACCACCTCTCTATATCAGGCACTAAAAAGGGGGTAAAAGTTCTCATGAACTAAGTTCTCTTTTTGGTGTGAACGCAAAATCCCAGGAACTATCAGAACTAAACGGGAGAAGTACTCCGGCGTGAAAGCGCCTATAGACCCCTGGGAGCAAAGATCAGCCTGTAACCCTGCCCATACTATTTCCTGTCCTGCCTGTATTTGCCACAACATGGGCGTTAACTGCATTTTGCCCATTCTGGTCTCAATGCAGTCTATATAGAGCATCAGCATGTGTCCATCTCCATTCATGTCTTTACAGTGTTTGTTCTGCACTGGCTCTTCATTTGCTTGGTGATAAGAATCACAGAGTATCATTGAAAACAGTTTGCATCTCAACAAAAGGATTTAAAAGGTAAATCGCACTAATAGCACTAATGATCATATCAACTAATAAATGATGTCACTTACAGTCGATGATGTCCCCCAGGCCCTGGGAGCAGAGGAGGTCTTTCAGGCGGAACACCTCCTCCTTCAGCTCGCGCACCAGCCGGTTGTTGGGGTCCTCATTGATCACAGCGTTGCAGCGAATCTGTTTGGCTCGGTCTGCATACCTGCGGAAATAAGGGAGGGGCCATTGAGCATTTGACACAAGTGATGGACAAAACGTAAGTAACACAAACACACATACACACCAGAGCTATTATCGTCAACTGAAACAAAAGCTAAAAAATAAACGAAAATATTAAAACTAAACCTAAACATTTAAAACTACACTAAAACACTAATGCCTGGTTCGTTTTTTAGCTATAATACAATAAGACTACCGAAAAAAGTAGACAGAGTGAAATTCCGTCAACTCAAGTGACGTCAAACCACAGCAATTAAAGCGACCTGACATTCCAGGAGATGGCGCTATGCTGCGATTCCCTCACAATTATACTCTATTATTTTACAAGTCTTGTAGAATTATATACCAGACAATAATTTACATCATTTTGTAGAACAAATACCATTTAACCGAGAGATTCAGCTCAGGTCTAATGTTCATTTACTGCAGTCTTTTTCTTCTGAGTGTGTTGGTGAAAAAGGACTCGAGTTGATTCCCAAATGAAAATATTTGAAAATCATGCCTTCACTGTTCTTGATGTATTGTTATTGTTTTGGTATATGTAGCCACATAGTTCTGACTAAAGTATGATGTATGAAAATGAAACCAATAGCAAAAACAATAAACTAACATTTAACTGAAAAGTCAAAACTAAAACAAAACAAAAAATAGATGTACTCTTATTAGACGTATATTATAATATAATACCCTATAACAAATTAAAATCCATACTATAATCACACATCCACAGGTCCTGCAGCTCCTACCCATGAAGGGTGTTTGATGTGAGACACTGATGCATGGGAACGTGTTACGCAACACTTTGTCTCACTGGCATCAGTGTCCTTTAGAGCCACATTCAGCCGCTGTGTGGAAGGGAGACAGACGCAGACAAATGTTCTCTACCTGAGTGTGCTGAGGGTCTCGTCATAATTGATGTCAGCTGGACTCAGGGCAGCAACCATGGCAGTACGAGAATTCCCCCCTGACACGGTGAAGATTCACACTTTAGTCTCAGTTTAGAAATAATATCATTAAGAGCAAATAAATAATGTGTTCATACCCAAATTTTCTCTCAGTAGCCAGGTCAAAACTGAGTCTCTATAGGGGATGTGGTGTTCCACTTTCTTCTTCTTTTTGTTCTGTTTATTCAATTAAAACGCAAAGTAAAAATCAATATATATATTGGTATTTATATCAAAGCCCTGAGAGGCAAGAGAGGAACATATAGAGATCTATTTAAGTCTGAGCTGAAAATGTTCTCCTTTTCCAGGATACTCTTTTGTGTTTGTTGTTGTAATACTTATATTTGCCACAAGAGCTTGAAATCGCCCCACTAAATAAGACTAAAACATTTAAAAAACGTATTCTCACTTTTTCCTAAGTCCTAAACACAAAATACTTTTTTTTTATTAGACCAATACATTTAATTACCGGTTATATTTTTCTTACATTCCTCTCAGGGCTTCATTTTGGTTAAGAAAAACAATACATTCATTACTATTACTAAAAATATAATAACTTACTTTGTTTGACCCAGAGTCCTAAAGGAAGCAGACAGTACAATGAAATCATTGATCAAAAAACAGCTTTATCGTATATTATAAAGAATGCTGAGATATAATACATACCACTTCTGCCAAAGCAGAGATGACTTTCCCCAGTGTAGTGAGAGATTTATTGATATTTGCTCCTTCCTGTGATAAAGCAAGAAGCAGAGTATAGTATTTTCTTCTAAAGTAAATATACTGATAAACTGCTTTAATATGGATGTAGTCATAGTGATCTGTTTCCCAGAGGCAAGGACATGTAGTAATGTGTGTTTCTGTATTTATACATCCAAAATGCATTTCATTCAAACATGTCACCTTCAGCCTGGTCCCTTTGGCTCCAGTAGAGTCTGCCCTCTCACTGCCAGCCAAATCCACCAGACTGATTTTGCTGACCTGCAACAGAGCATGCAATAAAAAGACTCCAATAAATAAACTCCAACGCATTAGCTGACAACAAAAAAGCTACAGCTATTCATCTTTATCCAGAGACGGCTCTCATTAAAAAAACATCTGTTACCTTATCGTCTACACAGTATGACCTTCATGCGATTATTGATTTCCAATTTACGACAAGATTTAAATCAGAGTCATCAATCAGCTCATAGATAAGCAGAGGCAGCAGCTGAATGTTAAATCCATCCTGTGAGGGTGTGATAAAGGTGTACCTTCTCAGTGGTGTTATCAGTCTCAGCATCGAGGCGTTTCTGAGTGAATATGATGTTAAAGACGGCATGAGAGCGGCTGCTTGTCTCATTCATGTTGGTGGCAGCCACAGTCCTGCACACACAGTGAAGACATTTCATCAGATTGTGCAGCAAGCATTTGTTCGCTCCATATTTGTGCAGAAAGAGAATGTGACTCTTACAATGATAGAGCAAATTACAAGTCCTGCTACTTATTAGCTATTGTGCGTCTGATAAACCTATCAAAGACACAACATTGAAAGGACAGATATGTAGAATAATCAGCTCAAACGTTGCATACATTATAAACAGATGTACAGGACTGTCTCAGAAAATTAGAATATTGTGATAAAGTTCTTTATTTTCTGTAATGCAATTAAAAAAACAAAAATGTCATACATTCTGGATTCATTACAAATCAACTGAAATATTGCAAGCCTTTTATTATTTTAATATTGCTGATTATGGCATACAGCTTAAGAAAACTCAAATATCCTATCTCTAAATATTAGAATATCATGAAAAAGTATACTAGTAGGGTGTTCAACGAATCACTTGAATCGTCTAATTAACTCGAAACACCTGCAAGGGTTTCCTGAGTAGAGAGAACCAACACGGGCCCAAGGACCGGGGTAAGTAGGGGGAAGTTGTCTGAAAAACACCGACACGAAACGTGACGCTGAGACACTTGTCGAACGAGAAACTCGTTAAAGAAAAACACAGGAATGGAGAGCGAGCGCGCGCGCACAGTAGCCAGAGACCGTGGCGTGTGCAGCGAGTGCGGTCGAAGAAAAGAAAGGGTAGTCGAGACACTAATCGAATGAGCTTGGTTCGAACCTCACANAGACATTTAAGAATAAATACAGTAAAAACACATTATATAATGGCATTTTATAACAGGCATTAAAAGGCAAAGATAATAAGATAAACACAACAGTTATACAATACATGAATAAAAAGCAAACTGCATGTATAACTGTTGTGTTTATCTTATTATCTTTGCCTTTTAATGCCTGTTATAAAATGCCATTATATAATGTGTTTTTACTGTATTTATTCTTAAATGTCTTTTATTTTTTTATTTTGTAAAGCACTTTGAATTGTCGCATACTGAAAGGTGCTATATAAATAAACTTGCCTTGCCTGACAGTGACATGATGCAATGACAGATGGGTCTTCTAAATAGAATGAATAAAGCTAAGCGTCATTGGATAAAATAAATTCTTCCCTCTCCCTGCACAAAAGAAGGGCAAATAGCACTCAGCTACATAAGTCTATAATGGTGTTTGTGCTCAATATCTTTTGTGAGTCAGACCTCGGGACAGGGCAAGTCCTGGTTTTATCAGCTGCTGGAATCCATTCTTTGGGAATTTCTCGTGATTGCTCCAAAAATCCACTTGACTACCTGGAATACCAGCTTTCATCTGTGTCTGATTTTTTTGTTGGCCCGACAGCTGGTGCCGATGAGCCCGAGAATCCAGTAAAGAGTCTGGATGGGCCACTGGACACAGCCCTAGAGCACCTGAGGATTGGTAATGTCTTCACCTTCAGGGTGACTGTTCTGCAAGCCTCCAGCATTTCTGCAGAATATGCTGACATCTTCTGCCAGTTCAAGTAAGCACTTCATCAAAAATGTTTACATTGTACATTTTTTGCCCTATGATCGCCAGTATTCATTATGTAACTTTTTTTAATGTTTCAAATTCAACAATGTGACTTGCATTGATTTCAGTTTCATCCACCGTCATGATGAGGCCTTCTCCACTGAACCCTTAAAGAACACAGGCTGCGGCCCCCCTCTTGGCTTCTACCATGTGCAGAATGTAAGAAGTATCACTCAGATCCTCTTTAATAAAGAGCTGAGTTGTTTTGATAGGTGACATGTTTGAACAATGCTGTGTTCTTTTATAGATTGCTGTTGAAGTGACTAAATCCTTTGTGGACTACATCAAGACTCAGCCCATTGTGTTTGAAGTGTTTGGACACTACCAGAAACAGCCTTTTCTCCCCCTCTGCAAAGACATCATCAGGTAACTGGAAGAACTGATTTACCGTACAGACAAAAATGCAATGTATATCATTGTGTTTTCATATAATGACACATGTTCTTTCCACTACCAGTCCACTACGTCCCTGCAGAAGACAGTTTCCAAGAGTGATGCCTCTGTCCAAACCAGGTAAACACACTCCGCCCAGAGCGACCTTATTTTACCATTATTGTATGTTGTATTGTCTATTATTACTAGTCTCTCTGGAAGTCATGTGATCTTAGCTCCATGTTGTTGGGTATAAGCAGTTGATGATGACACTTCGCCGGAGCGGGAGAAGTCGCTGGATCTGATCCGATACCTGGTCCCAGACGTGTTCAATGGGGCGCTGGTGGACTCGTTGTCAGGCCACGCTCTGTCTGCCGCTGGCCTGGCTGCTTCCTTCTTACTGGAAGCAAACGAGCAGGCTCAGCTGGCAGCCCCGCCCACCTCTATCTGTTCAGTTATTAAAGCTCAGAATCCGGGTTGGTTATGATGTCAGATCCAAGAGAATCCTGTCACTGAAAGCCTATTTATATTAAGTGTTTTTCTTCAAGTGACTTGAAAAATACTACAAAGCCAAGTACATTTTGCCATTTCACATTACAATGAACTTATTGACTGCAATTTAATGAGCTTTAACTTTGTTTAAAAACTCAAGCTACCGTGACAACAAACAAAAGCGAGTTTCACAAAAAAGAGCATGTTTTTATTACATCTACTGATGGAGGATTACTGAATGGGCAACCGGGGACAGGTCTAGGGCCCAAACTGTCTACAGTATGTCCTTTACCTATCAAATGTAATTCAAAGAGACAAGAACATTAAACACTCAGCTAGAAAGAAATGTAAAAGACTATAAAGTCACCAAAACAACCACAAAGAGATGCAAAAAAGCTGTAAATAAATACTGAGAATCACAACAACATGTACATGGGCTAAACAACCACAAAAAGGCACAACATGACTGCAAGGAGACAACAAGTACGGTAACTACAAAGAAACTCAAAATGACAACAAATAAATACAAAATGACAACAAAGATACACAAAGTAAATTCAAAGAAATTCTAAAAACCACAAAGGAATACAAAATGCCTACAGGGATACACACATTTACTACAAAGAGACTTCAAAGACACAAACAACAACAACAAAAATAAGCTTAACAACCAATCAGTGTGCGTTCTCATACAGTTTGTAGGAGGGATGGTGGGGCCCAGAGCTCTTCATTTAAATTCCACACCTGAGGTTACTACTGCCATGACTATTAGAAGCTGTATTACATCAAAACAAAAACGACTTGATATAAAAGGGGGTTTCATTGTGTCAGGATTCAGTTGGATCGGCTCTCTGATGTTCTGTGTGTGTGGTGGATTCTCCTCGCAGTTCCCTCTTTGAACCGGACCATGGCGCCTTTCTGCTTCAGTAGTCAGTCATGAAAAATACTCTCTCAGTCGGCAATGTTAAATATACTGTACAAAATACTGAATTGAGCTAAACTGCATGTAACTGATTTCAAATTCAACCTCTCTTAATTCCTTTTGGGGAACTACTTTGAGTATAAGGACTGCGTTTAACTCAAGGCTAGACTAGATTGAATTAGTTAATCAATAACAATCAACAAAATCAAATCTGATTAAGTAGAGTTGGAGAAGTCTGTGCATATACTTTTCCTTATGCACAGGATGTACAGTATTTGTTATTACAAGGGGCTGTGTTGCAAAGTGAGAAACCCACAAAACCAGAGTTAAGTTTTATAAAAAAAAGAATGTAAATGAAGAAAGGAGCTCCTTCTACATGACTAATGGTTCCTCTCTTTCCCTGCATCACTGATTTCCATTCTTCTTCCCTTTCACTCTCCTTGTAGGTTTAGAGCAGCTCCTTGCTGTTACCACTAGTCTGCTCCCTGTCTACCCTCAACCTCTCTTACACTCTTTATCTCCTTCTTCATCACAGTACCGGCGACCAAGCTGACAGCCATGACCCGCCCTCAGGCCGGACCCTGTCACTGCAAATATGATCTCATGGTGTTCTTTGAAATCTGCGAGCTGGAGGCCACTGGAGAGTGAGTGTCCTGCATCACAAACATCCAGTTTTGTTTTCTTTGAAAAAGTAAAGAAAATCAATTCTGGTGATCTATTTTCAAAGTCTGATCCAAACTGTTTCTCTCCTGTTGTTATGATAATTGTTCTCAGTTCAATTGATGGAACAATTAGTATCAGACATAGATGATCAAAAAACTGATTTTTGTATCATTTACCTCTAAAGTCTCCCATAGAATAGTTATAATGATCCTGACACACTTTGAAACAAATGTCTCCACACTGTCACAACGTCACATGACCACATCCGTGAAGCTGTTTTTCATCTGTGTCTTCCCAGGTACATCCCTGCTGTGGTGGACCACAGAGGAGGAATGCCTTGCCATGGCACATACCTACTGCATCAGGTATGCCAATCACACTGAACAAATACAACATTTAGTGTTTTCTAGATGAACCTATCATGACAACTGATCATTTGTTGACAAACAGGGCCTCCAGAGGAGAATCACTGTTACTATTGTACACGAGTCAGGAGGTGAATTGGAATGGAAAGACATCCGTGAGCTTGTTGTGGGTAAGTTAAGGTCCATCGCATCATCAGTCATATTGCCTCTGTATGTCTACGAGCTGTTCTAACTGAGGCATGACTGCCGTCCTAGGTCGTCTCCGCAACATGCCTGAAGCTGATGAGACCATCATCGACCCCAACATCCTGTCCCTCAACATCCTGTCTGCTGGCTATGTCAGGCCCATGCGAGATGACCGGTACGTACTGCTTTACACTTTCTGTGAACAGTCAGATCTTTGTAAATAGAGAATAAGCCAGGGCCAGCCCATGTTCTGCACATTTGATCAGATTCAGATTATATGGTTGGTAGTCATTCGTATATTTGTGGACATATATATATATATATGTTTGTTTATGGCAGCATTGCTGAATTTGGAAACCATTATATTGTTCTGATTTACATTTCAACAACAAAATTATCTACAGAAAGCCTTGAGAGGCAGGTGAGAGAAAAACAAGTGGTGACTCAATCAATATGAAGGAAAATCTATGTTTTGAGTAATATTAAATTCATGGGGTATTGATACACAGCCTCTCCTGCCCAAAGGGAGTACAAGACAACATTGACATCTGCAAAAACGTTTTCTCTTCAGCTGTTTTTACAAATAGCAAATCATTTGGAAAGATGTGTTTCTGTAAAAGATGTGATAACAGTTTAGAGAAGACTAAAAAAATGGATCACCAGAATAGTTTTTCTCTCTTGCCTCTCAGGATCTCACTGTTGTGTCAGCTGCACTGAAACACAGCACACAGGCTAACGCATGGCATAGGGAACCAGCTGCACTTGTGGAGACAAAGCATAGCAAGAGACACAGCTTGAATGCACCTAGATATTTAGTTAACTTCATCATCATGACCTGCATGAGTATAGCTTCCTCTCTCTAAATGCAGGAGGCCACACATAACATATCTAGAGTGAGCATGAGCAAAGTGAATCAAAGAGTTGTTTATTTTCCACCTCATCAGCAGTTATGAATTCCCTTGTCCATGCTGGCTGTGCGACCCTCCTTGTTGTTAATCTTTGCTTTTCATTTGTTTGATCATTGTACCTCCATGTTGAATACTGTATGACCTTGTTTATCACCTCACCTCTAACTCGTGTCACTTCTCCACACAGATTAGATTTACCAACTCACCTGCTTATAGACTTTAAGAGCCACTTGTTTTTTACCAAGAACCCTCATCACACTGTATTTACTGCTGAACAGGCCTTTATTAATTATTACAATAGCACACCAAAACGAAATTAAAACTGCATGTGTTTTTAACTCCAGCATGGATCTGTGTGTAAAACACTAAACTCTATGTATTTGAACTCAAGAGAAACAATATGTCTTCATCACTTTCTTGAATCCCTTGATAAACTCCTGATATTTAACATTACCAAACTGGATATGACAATGCAGAAATGTGAATCAATCTGGTGGTGTTGTGTGATTGCAGTCTGGTGTGTAGAATAGCGGGGAGAAGGTGTGGCCTAAATACAAATCACAATTACAGGAAACAACAACCCAACAGACCAATGCCATTGCTAATACCAAGCTGAAATAAAAAAAGTTTTACTAACATGAACCACAACATTTTGTGACTGTGACATGTTGTTGCTGGAGTTTCCACTGTGAACATGGGCCTGGTAACTTTTTTCAAGTTACTCTGATGTCCTTGGAGGGTTAAACATTTCTGTCAGAAACAAATATATATATAATATATTATTTTCCACTTTGAACGAAGTAAAATCTGTTGAACAACTTGATCATAACTACCAAATATTCATTGCCATTTTGGTTTAATTCCAAAATGTCACATATCTGAGATCAACATTTCTGTCATATGTATTAACACAGCCAAGATGCTTTAACAATGAAAATGCCCAAAATGTCCCTATCAGGCTCACCAGTAGATGGCAGTAGATTTATGTTAAGACTACAGTCAAAATAATAAGACCTTGGGTTTTAGAATGACAGATATTAATGGCATGAAAACATAATCAACTCTTTTCTGGTTTGTCTTTGAATATCCAAATCCTCCTACCTATCCTCCCATAACCACTGTTTTATGGCACAATAACTCTTAATTGGTGTCACACTATATATGTGCTTACAGTGTATTTACAGCGTATTATATGTAAAGAAAAAAGTCTACATTCTCTTTTAATATCCTTCTGCAAAACTTATAACATTATCTGGTGTTCAAATTATGGAAACTGTAAAGTATTTTTGTGAGTTTTTCTCTAAATCTACTGAACGCTCCACGCAGCCCTCAGTGTTCGTCTCGTTCCTTTTGCCTCAATGGTCAATAATGCTGGTGTAAGGGCTCAGCGGGGCGGGTCCAGACGGGGGTCCATGACGAGACTAACATCAAGGTGTAAATGGATGCTAACATTTTTTTCCCTCCAGTCCACTAACGGAATGTTGTTGTTTTTTTTGCTTTTGCAGACAGTTTCTTGATTCGGACATGCCTAGGTATATTATTTTGCCTCTCTTCTCATGCTCTTCAGTGACACAAACATCCCTCTAACGTCCTCCTCACCCTGCAATCCAGCCTCCCATGAAGTCGTTACTCTCTCTTCTACTCTGCCATTACTGTCAGCATTTCATCCGTGCCTCTTTGTTTTCTCCCCTCCTGAGAAGTCAGGGTGTGGTTGTGCATGTCCCCTCTTGCTGCTGCGCTGGGTGTGTGTGTGTGTTTGAGCTGTTATCAGGTTTATGATAGACAGGGTCTGCATGGCTGGTTTTGCTTCCCGTTGGCTGTGTCTCTGCTGGAGGTGTCGTGGCGTTCAGTCTCACACTCTCTGTTCCCACTTCAGCAGATGCTGTAGGAACTATCTAATAAGGCTGATGTGAGAAACTGTACAATCAATATTTGATCACTGCATTTGTTTTGGATGGAAAATACATTTTAAAATGTTGTAGACATCTTATTTAAAATATATGTTACTCTGTCTTCCTGATTGTTTCTAGATGTTGAATTAACAGATGAATTTAAAATGCAGCAAAGTCACATCAAACATGGTTGCACTCCCAATGTGGTTGAAAAAAATTCAATATTGGTAAGATTCATTTGCCAGTAGAGAATGGAAGTGATCACAGTTCTTTTGAAACAAAAAATGCTCACCATGTTCTGCCCTTTCCACTCTGTTTGTTATTCTCATATTGTGGACCTTTGCAGTGAAGAAATATTTTGAATCCATGGATATGATTTTGTTAGTTACCTCTAGAGTGGTTCCCATCAAAGCAACAGAGTATTAACATGAACACTAGTCATCCACTGTTACTCAAGTGCTGTAACATGGATCACATCACTTACAGTACAGCACGCCATTCAAATGCAGCTATTAAAATGTAATCCAGTGAACCCATTACCTCACCAGTAGCACCTCTCAAAATGTCTGCGATGTTGCCACATCGTGGCCAGTTTACCTCGCTGAAACTGGCCAAACACCAGGAACAAACGGCTCCTCGCATGTTCCGCCAGCATGACTTCAGTCCTGGCTCCTGCAGGAGGTAGTAAAAGGCAGAGAAACACATGTTGGTGTAGTGCACAGAGGAAATTGCTTCCTTGTAATGAAAGTGAACACTTTTCTACTACTGGGAAATAAGTGTGTTTATATGTGTGATGTGGGTGTTAATGCACTTGCTAATTAGTTAAAAACTGGCCATCTTTGCAGTGAATCTGCTTTACTCACACAGAGCCACAGTGAGTTTCTGCATTACAGAGTCCACTCAGTTCATTGTGTCTGTTTATTCTGGGTGACACATTGTTCACTCTCCGACAAGGTCACATCAGTCCAACATCTGAACCTCATGAAGACTCCTTTCAGACTGTTTTTATGGCTTACGAAAACATTAGTTTCCTTTTACAATTCGTGCTTGGATTATCTTTTTTAAATACTGTATAATGCTGTGAAAGAACTGCTTCCTGTATGTGACTATTTCCGCTCAGGGGTAATGAAAAAAGACGTGTACATTAGTGTAGCAGAAAGCAGTACAGTTTAGCTTCAGGAATGCCGTTATTTAACCCTCTCAATGGTTGGGCAGGGTTAGAGCACCTTCCACAGGATTCTCATGTTCTCTTATAGATGATCTGTGTTAACATAATGAGATAACAGAGTGGAAAACAAACACTATCCCAGCCTCACGAGCGCGGCACAACCACAAACAAACTTTCTCACTTTCTATTCTTTTGCTGATTTCTTCTTCCTCACAGCATTTCCTCGGGAGTTGACCATAGGTATTTCACTGCCCTGTCCCTCATTCCTCTGGCTGTCTCTCACCCCCCCCCCTCCTTTTTCTGTACTAAAAGTCACCTCCGCTCTATTTGCATTTCTGTCGTGGTTTGTACATCAACTAAATCAGCCTGTTGCATGCAGAAAGGTTTCATTAGCACTTTTGTTTGACTTACATTTGATGAATACTTACTACAACATAAAATGATAATATCTGTTTTACCAAGCCTAATATTATGTTACCAAATCCTATTTTTATCTTTCTGTTTGTGAAATATGTTTTAATATTGAAAGTTGTTGTTAAAGGGATGGTTCAACTATAAGAAACAGTATTACAGAATATAGCAGTTGTCACACCCGTAGTTTGCAGAAGCAGTCGGGAGTACCAGTAAATAAGCTAAGACATGTACTGCTTTGGATGGGGGGCAAAGGCAAACATGTTTATGACCACCCAACAAATGTTGTCATTGTTTAAATGTACACTGAATCATATGATTCAAAGGGTTAGTTTGGATTCACTAAAGTCACACAATAATACAAACTAACTGCCAGATCAAAGCAGCGGCAGACCAACAACGTTTGTGTTCTGCTAGGTCAAATTATTGTTTTTTAGTAGTCTGGTGGCTTTGCAGAGAGCTTTAGTTCCATGTTAAAATTAATTAAGTGTACGCTTAAACTGATGTTGATTTTTTTTTATGTGGACCTTTCTCAAGAGGCCACAGCAATGCATTGCTAACTTTCAAGCTCCTACTCATATATGTGTATTTTAAAGACAGACAGTAGCATGTATTTAGCTCTGCCTGCTTATTTTTTGTTCAGGTAGAAGCACTTACATTTTAACACCTGATTCATTTGATCAACTTAGGACTTTCTTCCGCTTCGAGGCTGCTTGGGACAGCTCCATGCACAACTCCCTGCTTCTAAACAGAGTCACTCCATATGGAGAGAAGATCTACATGACCCTCTCGGCCTACCTGGAGGTACAGCACAGAGCCTGAGATCATGAGAACAAATAGCTCTTACAGTGTCGGAGGTGATTCATGTCTGATATCCTTCCTCTTTCTCTTATCAATTGAAGATGGAGAACTGCACCCAGCCCGCAATCATAACCAAAGATATCTGCATGGTGTTTTACTCACGAGACACAAAGCTCTCAGCCTCGCGCTCCATCCGGAACCTTTTTGGCACTGGAAGCCTGAGAGCGGCAGACGGGTGAGTTTTAAACTTCAAACCTTGAAAAAAATCAAAACAGTTCCTGTGATTTTTCTTAATGTAGAGCTCTGTTTTTGACTTTGTAGAAACCGTGTTACTGGAGTTTATGAGGTCAGCATGTGTAACCTGGCAGATGCAGGAAGCCCAGGTGAGCGTCAAGACTAAGTCCTCATTTTGCATCTGCTCACTTATGCGACATTTCTAATACTGACTCTAACCATTCCAGGTATGCAGAGGAGACGTAGGCGGGTGCTGGACACCTCCGTGGCCTACGTCCGCGGGGAGGAGAACCTGGCCGGGTGGAGGCCCCGAAGTGACAGCCTCATTCTGGACCACCAGTGGGAGCTGGAGAAACTCAGCCTTCTGCAAGATGTAACGGCAATTTATTTTTATTTCACCTTTTACATCTCTTTAAATGTGTTGCTTTGATGAATATATGATACAAAATCATATATTAATATATGTTAAAGTTCATAACCAACTTCAGTCTTAGATCATAACTACAAAACATTAATCATTGCCAGAATCATAGCCCTTTAAAAGTCAGTTTCTTTTTATTGTATCAAAGGACATTTATTTAATTCTTGAATATGTCAGTGATTAGCAACAACAAAGCAGTGTTTGACGCAGTTCTCCATATTGCAGCAACAAAAGGTGGACACAAGTTAAAGATCCTATTGGCGTTATATGAAAACAAGAGAAATAGCTATATTTGGTGAGAAATAGTATAAACTACAAATGTGAAGCCAAGGCTCTGGATTAAAAGCCTGATATAATAGAATCAGAATCAGAATGCATGGTTTTACGATAGCAATCAAACATTGTCTTTAATGGGTTTCATGTAGATATTTTAGGGGGTCTCTTGAAGTGTCTGCATTTGAAGTGTCTACACCCATTATTATAGGTTAATCAAATGAACTAGTGTTGATCCCTCCAAAATTGAAAATAAAATTGAAACCTTTCCAATATTTATGCCATAAGCATTAAATGGATATTTAAAGGTTCTAAATTAGGAAAGCTTTTAAAAACTTTGCTTTGAAAAGCAAATGCTGAACAAATGGTAATTGTGCTACAGTGTTTGGCATAATAGTGCATTGTTTCTTAATAAAAATAACAGGACTACCTCACTAAGATGTTTCTTTAAGTTAAACTGGGACTATAAATGAATCTGAGGTTTATATAAGTCATCTTTGACATGTAATGTAATGTAATCTTTAAGTTAGTAGCCAGGGAACCTACATGCAGGTGTACAAATGTCAAGACAAAAACATCTATAGTGATTCAACTGCAGAAAACTATAAGACATTTAAGTCTACCATCATTTGAAACAAATGATTTAATTTTGTAATTAGATAGTTTCCCTGTTTTCACAAGAGTGGGTATCACTGGTGGATCAGTAATCAGAGACACAGCATAACTAACAGCTAAGGAAGAACAAGACAGGACCCAGGATGGATCCATGAGGGACTCCACAGGTCAGATGAGCACATAAGAAGAAAAAATGTCCATAGCCTTACAGTATACGAAACCAAAACCCTTTCTGAGAATATCCATTATGATTATTGTTGGAGAATAATTTGCCCTGCATGTCCTCCTTCGCCCTCTGACGCAGCTGACCAACCTTGAGCAGCCGTTATCTCCCATAAGGAGGGGCTGCCCTAGCATATTGTTGATGTTACCAGTTTGTGACCGGGCAACTCTCAGTCAGAGATAGTTATTGTTGTGGCACACCTGGAACACATCCTTCTCGGGGTGTAGATGACAACAACTGTGATTCAGTGTCCTCAGCTGTTTAGTCTATCTATTGAAGAATGTTGATTATTACACTCTGAACTAGTTAAAACCTGGAGCTACAGAAGGGGTCTTCAGAATTGATTGTGGCATCTCAACCGTGTGGTCAACTTGTGGCCCTTTGACATGTCTTGTGAATTCTCTGGCCGAAGCTCCAAATAAACCGTCAGTGTTTGCCATCAGAGCTCCAGCTCTCCATCATGTCTCTCTTTGAGTCCTGACTCCTCCATTGCTACAGAAGTTTCCCCCACAGTTATGATTTATGTTACGAAAAGCAGCTGTTTCTCTTGTTTCTCTTCCCATTCTATCAGGTGGAGAAGACCAAGCATTACCTCTTGCTGAGGGAGAAACTGGAGTCTACAATGCTCATGGGCCAGGATTCCCTGCAGTCCTGCGTCACCAAGGACCTGAGTGAGACTCCTCAGCCCCCCGAGGTGGAGCAGGAGGTCAGCTGCAGCTCTGAGATCACCGAGAGGCAAAGGGAGCTCGCTGCCAAGGTCAGCTACATCACAAATAAAACCTGAAGTTCATTTTTGACTTCATGCAGTCCTGATTGTTTTTTGTAACACTACTACTCTATGATCTCTGTCTTGTCAAATCTGTGCTGAATGTACCTTCATTTTGATTATATTACAGATCTGCTGATTTCATTATCGGTTATCTAATCTTAGAGACTCTCTGTCTTTTGTTCACAGTGTTTGCGGCTGCTCACTCACTCCTTTAACCGAGAATACACTCACGTGTGTGTCAGCGCCAGTGAAAGCAAGGTAGTGCTCAAAACACTCACATTTAAACCGAGACATGAAAAAAAGAAAAGATATGATGTACGTCTGATTGTTCCTCACAGTTGACGTGTGTGTGTGTGTGTGTGTGTGTGTGTGTGTGTGTGTGTGTGTGTGTGTGTGTGTGTGTGTGTGTGTGTGTGTGTGTGTGTGTGTGTCCAGCTCTCAGAGATGTCCATCACAATGCTCAGAGACTCAGCTTCAATCTCTGCTCTCAACACAATAACACCTTCCTCGACATGCCCTTCGCTGGTTGATGGTTGCTATGCCAACACTGAACTCAGGTGAGTACTTGTTAACATTTTTGGCTTTTTAATGTTAATTTGTCTATAATTTTAAATGTGTTATTGCATATGGGATACACAGGTGTGTATAATTATTTGGCATTTTGGGAGTTCAACCTCAGCTCTTTCAGCAAAAATACAGACACTCAGATTCTTAAGGACACAAATGTCCTCATTGAAACCACATTTCTTTATCCCACGGCCATCACAGCTTACAAGCACTCAGTTACAGTGGGGCAAAAAAGTATTTAGTAAGCTACCAATTGTGCAAGTTCTCCCACTTAAAAAGATAAGAGAGGCCTGTAATTTTCATCCTAGGTACACTTCAACTATGAGAGACAGAATGGGGGGAAAGAATCCAGGAAATCACATTGTAGGATTTTTTATGAATTAATTGGTAAATTCCTCTGTAAAATAAGTATTTGGTCACCTACAAACAAACAAGATTTCTGGCTCTCACAGACCTCTAAGTTCTTCTTTAAGAGCCTCCTCTGTCCTCCACTCGTTAACTGTATTAATGGCACCTGTTTGAACTCGTTATCAGTATAAGAGACACCTGTCCACAACCTCAAACAGTCACATTCCAAACTCCACTATGGCCAAGACCAAAGAGCTGTCAAAGGACACCAGAAACAAAATTGTAGACCTGCACCAGGCTGGGAAGACTGAATCTGCAATAGGTAAGCAGCTTGGTGTGAAGAAATCAACTGTGGGAGCAATTATTAGAAAATGGAAGACATACAAGACCACTGATAATCTCCCTCGATCTGGGGCTCCACGCAAGATCTCACCCCGTGGGGTCAAAATGATCACAAGAACGGTGAGCAAAAATCCCAGAACCACACGGGGGGACCTAGTCAATGACCTGCAGAGAGCTGGGACCAAAGGTAACAAAGGCTACCATCAGTAACACACTACGCCGCCAGGGACTCAAATCCTGCAGTGCCAGATGTGTCCCCCTGCTTAAGCCAGTACATGTCCAGGCCCGTCTGAAGTTTGCTAGAGAGCACTTAGATGATCCAGAAGAGGATTGGGAGAATGTCATATGGTCAGATGAAACCAAAATAGAACTTTTTGGTAAAAACTCAACTAGACGTGTTTGGAGGAGAAAGAATGCTGAGTTGCATCCAAAGAACACCATACCTACTGTGAAACATAGGGGTGGAAACATCATGCTTTGGGGCTGTTTTTCGGCAAAGGGACCAGGACGACTGATCCGTGTAAAGGAAAGAATGAATGGGGCCATGTATCGTGAGATTTTGAGTGACAACCTCCTTCCATCAGCAAGGGCATTGAAGATGAAACGTGGCTGGGTCTTTCAGCATGACAATGATCCCAAACACACCGCCCGGGCAACGAAGGAGTGGCCTCGTAAGAAGCATTTCAAGGTCCTGGAGTGGCCTAGCCAGTCTCCAGATCTCAACCCCATAGAAAATCTTTGGAGGGAGTTGAAAGTCTGTGTTGCCCAGCGACAGCCCCAAAACATCACTGCTCTAGAGGAGATCTGCATGGAGGAATGGGCCAAAATACCAGCAACAGTGTGTGAAAACCTTGTGAAGACTTACAGAAAACGTTTGACCTCTGTCATTGCCAACAAAGGGTATATAACAAAGTATTGAGATGAAATTTTGTTATTGACCAAATACTTATTTTCCACCATAATTTGCAAATAAATTCTTTAAAAATCAGACAATGTGATTCTTTTCTCATTTTGTCTCTCATAGTTGAGGTATACCTAGGATGGAAATTACTAGGCCTCTCATCTTTTTAAGTGGGAGAACTTGCACAATTGGTGGCTGACTAAATACTTTTTTGCCCCACTGTACATCAGCCTTTCAATCCAGAGCCCTGGCTTTCTTGTTTTTTCGATTCAGAATCAAGTTTATTGCCAGGTACGTTTACACACACAAGGAATTTGCTTTGGTATCTGGTGGTGCAAACATAAATAATCTAGGAAAATAAGTTTCAATAGTAGGTATTAATATATAAGGATAGTACAAAATAAGTATTGTCCATCATATTGAGCTACAGGACAAATACATGCTGCTGTATAATGGGGCACTGCAGTTTTTATGCATTGTATGAAAAATATATGCTGTTGCTAATCATTGGCATTTTCAAGACTGTGAATCAAAAAATCTGCCATCATATTTTTGGATGATTGTATGACAGTTTTTGAGGGATGCAGATATTGTTTTCATTTAAGGAGTGAGGCACACAGGGTAATTGTTTCCGTTGCCTTTGTTTAATGAGTCTGGATTAACCACATTCTGTATACTGCAGACTGTGTTTTCTTTTATTCTTTGTTTTGAATAAAATTGTTGGTAGTGTGATGCTCTGACAAAACAGTGATATCACTCATTGCAGAGTGCTTTAGTTGCATCAGGTGTGGGTAGCTGCCATGTAACTATGATTTATCAGCCTCTTGTTCCTGTACCGCAGACCCCCGATGCCTCGCTCCCGTGCGGTCAGCTCCAGTCCTGACACACAGCAGGACGCAGAGAAGAAGTCCATCACCAGGGCCTCTGAAAGCAGAGCCCGGAGTCGCAGGTTCTTCCCCGACATCCAGGAGATCAGAGTCAGGTGAGTGTTCCTCAGTGACTTTGGAGACACTCTTCTGTTTCACATGTGCTGATTTCTCAACTCTACTCTTGCAGCCCCATCGTGTCAAAGAAGGGATACATACATTTCTTGGAGCCGAACACTAACGGGTGGGTGAAGCGCTACGTGGTGGTGCGGCGGCCGTACGTCTACATCTACAACACAGAGAGAGACTCTGTGGAGCGCGCTATCCTCAACCTGTCCTCGGCTCAGGTGGAGTACAGCGAGGACCAGCAGGCCATGCTGAAGGTCGGTGATCAGGGTCTGGAGGGAACATTCAAAATGTAATGCGTTACAATAAATAGTTACATGAAAACAAATCTAATCAGTAACCTAATATGAGTATCAAAATATAAAAGTAATGTAACCTGAATACTACTTTTGGAAAACCTCAATATCAAATGCAATGCAAATAAAAACGATACAATAAATAACAATAAGATGATTGTTACTTTAGTGTATGCAACAATGTAACCTTAGAAAAGAAGAAACCAACATATTTCATATAATAAATGCAGTAATAGTTTAAAAATGCTGTTTAAACTTAATGCATTAAACAAAAGCATAGACTGTACCTTTTGTTTAATACATCAGGTGTCCATCTACTGCATTAAAAAAGAAATGTATTTAAAATAAAGATAAGATAATATGTACTTTATTGATCCCAAATTGGGAAATGTTTCCGTTGCAACAGCATGTAAAACAAGGCATTGCACATAATAAGACATTAAAAGAATATAAATAAACAATTCTAAAATGTAAACATCTCAAAATAGAAATAAAACAGCATTAGAGAGTAGAAAATATTTTATCTTCACGGTCATTCTTCTAAAGAAGAATTAAAGTAGCCTAAATATAAAGCATAAAGAAAATGTGTTCATTACTTCTACCTATAATATATTGATCTTTATNCCCAGCCCCACTACAACAGTCTCCAATAACTATCCTACCCCTGTACGTCCTCAGCACCTAAAGCGCCCATGTTTGTGTCAGGCTTTTGCTGCGGTGTGACTGTAGTCTGAAGAAACTCTTCAAAAAGCTGTCACTTTCCTGTACTGAGGTTTATTCATAGCTGGACGATTGGAGAAGACTGGAAGTAGCACCAGTTTCTTATATCAGATTACATACGTATGGTAATGTACTGTAGTTGTTGTCGGTGACACATCAAGCCTTATTCATTTAATCCTCAAAAAAATGCAGTGACGTTTATTTTGATGTGAAGCTGTCATGTCAGCAAGATCACATTGCTTCATTTGCATCAGTAAATATAGAAAAAAACATCCAGAATGTTCTCTTCTCTACAGCTATATACAGTATATACAGTGTCTAAACTGGTTTGCATTCAGCTAAAAAATACACGCTTAAAGAAAATAAAGGACAGTTGAGTGTAATTCTTTAGAACAATCTTCTTACCTGCACCGTGAATCCTTACATGGAGCAATCTGCTGTCCTACTCCTAAATGTCTCCGAAACTTTAGCACACACAGCCTGGCAAAGGAACATCTCATCTTAGACCTTATGTTATGTGGCATTCTGATCAATCCATGTCATGTTTTAGCTTCTCTTAGGAGCACCGAGGGTATCTACATTCACACCAAAAGGAATTCAATGTCATCACCAATAATCCTCCCAATTGAACCCCATTCTCTACCTGAATTGTATCTGTTTAAAATGTGATATATTTAGATATTTAACAGCTTTATTATTTATTTCTGCATGTATTTATTTACAAAGACATTTATATTTCTAAAATAGTAGTACTGTGCAATTTCTGCACATCGCACTTTTTAATATGAGTTCCTTAAATGTTTGAATAAGACAGCGTTGTGCCCATACAGCTATTTAAACTGCTGAATCATTTACGATTGGCCAATTTCTTTGTGAAGCTGAAAATGACTTGAATAATACTGTCCCCTGTAAAATTTGGATAGTCACACCTGACCTTTGACCCCTACTAATACACATCTGAAAAGGTCGATTGTGTCCATCCGCAGCTGCAGAAAGCTACCTTGTTAAATAATCAAAAGTATAAATGTTCCTCACATTACAGAATAAGAAACTCGTTTTCTGAATGATATGTATATTGATTCAATGTAGTGCCTCTCTTTTCAATCAGACTGTACAGTGTGCCTCAGCACCAGTTGCTTTGAAACTACATTCTCCATGCTGCTACTGTTCTGGAAGTGTCTGCGGATCATAACTTTCTGCTTATCATCATCACCTACATTATCAGACAGAAATCTATTACATATCTTAACTGGCAATCGGCTGTCATTAATTGTCCATAACACAGCGTATACTTCAAGGACGTAACGTCTGATTTGAACCCTGAGAGGTAGGAAAATCATTTTGTTGATGCATTTCCTAAGCCTAATCTTCTTTAAGGGGATTTTCAGGTATAGTTTGTAACATTTCTGTGATGTTTCTTCTGGCTAGAAATCATGAATCCCATTTAAAACACATGGTAGAGGTGCACTAAAGCCTCTTGTGGCCTAAATGAGTATTACAACAACAACAACAACAACCAATAACCCTAATTTAAAATAAACTTCTTTCCTATCAAAACAAAGTAGGAACTAAGAAAGATTATCCTGGCAAAACCTTTTTCTCCACCTGATAACTCGTAACAAAAGAAAATGATTTCGATCAGACTTAGAAAATGTGCTACCTTCGATCTTTGCTACAGTGCATTTTGTATACATTGCATTCCTGATAATTATGAATCTGAAACAGCTCCTGAACTAGTGACAGATTCAGCGTGTGAGATGTTGTGTGAAGTTTAAGAATGAGCATGCCTCAGGTCAGCCAGCCTAGAGAGCATGCTACAGAAGAGACATTTCACCTGCAAACTAAGACAACATCTCAAAGCATTCAACTGTTAACAATATGATTTGTTGTAAGATGGCACAGTAAATGGGAGCAGGGGATTACATTCTAACTGCAATTTAAGTATTTGTTTTTATTCAAGCATATATCCCGAGATTTGAAAGTATTCTGTCGGTTGTGGGCAATTGTTTGAAGTGATCCATTCAAAACCTTGTAAATCCTCCATAGCTGTCACTAGTTGTGGCTAATCAGGCGGTCTAATGTGTGTTCATTTCTTTTGTTGGCTGTGTTCTGTGATCCCTGTTGCCATCACAGACTTTCCTGGCAGAGACTGCAGTTGTTGTTTATCCAGCCGCAGCTTCAACATGGAGAGAAAGCCCTGCTGTAAATGACACCGTCAAAAGCACTCATTGTGTCTCATTTCCTTTACAAACACAATCTTAAAATGTGAGCCTCGGATTGCTCCAGTTTGATCTTTGTGTTGAGATTATTCCTCGTGTTTTTAATGGGCCTCTTTGTGTGTCACTTTTGAGCCAACCAAAGCTTTCTTGGTGCAGTCAAACACAAAAAATCACACTGAATGTACATTGATATTGGAAACAGTTGTTCTGCTGGAGTGGTTGTGTTGTCTTCTGTGTTCACAGTCTGATTCCTGATTGATTGTAGGTGGGTTACTGTCAGGGAACTAAACGAAAGTGTGGGATAAGCCTCTTGTAATCTGTCCACTGACATGAGAGGGGAGGCTGGTTCATTATTATCACACTTTCACTCTTATCTCAACCTCACCATCATGCTGTCAGCCTTCACAACATCTACTTTTTCTAACCCCATTTGAAAGATATCATCTACATTTTTATGCTTCCACATCTTAATTTATTTTCAAGTTGCACAAGTGCATTTTTTTTCTTCAAATGACTTTGCATTGTATATAACATGATTGCTGTGAACAGTGTATTATAAAGTTGCACCCACTCTGAAATGGGCAGTAGTTCAGTCGGTGTCTCTGAGTGTTGGAGTTTAGCGTCAAATGTTTGTGTACACTAAACACATTGTCATATATGAAATAAACATGGACATTATGCAACACAAAGAAACAGACTCCTCCTTTTATTCTTAATTCAATTAGATTTTGAAACTGTTGACCAAGCATGTATGTATTATCATTCAAGAACACAATACTGTATTAAATATATGAATTGTGGTCAGATCCAGTTGATACACAGCACTTAAAGTGACTTAAAATAAAAAATGTTAGGGTATTTTTGGAGATTTGTTCGGCTATCTCTATTAAATATGGAATACAACTATAATAATAGGCATACATTTGTCGTTTAAGAGTTCTCCTTACAAGTAGACAGTAGTATGTTCTTAGTATAATCATAGACTTTAAGTACAAATCCAGTGACATTGGGGATAACATTGTATTTGGTATTTATGTATTTAAAGTTGGCCATGGTTATTCTATACATTTACAAATATCTCAATCTTAAATCTGTCATGTTTAAAATCTATAACCACAACTTTAAACTCTATGTTGACGTTATGATGTTTTTTGCGCAAATTGTAATTTAGTCCAAAAGTAGGGTGAATGGCGGTCAATACAAATTCTGAAGTTTTTGCCCATCGGATCAATTTTTTTTTAAAACCGTGGATTTTTGGATTTTCAAAGAGCTCGATTACGATGGCCAGTCAGGCAAACAATTACATTCGATCTTTGGTAATCGACAATCAGTCTTGATATATGGTTAAATTAAAATCAGTAGGCGAGGCTGTAATTTCTCCAGCTGTTACTCTCATGAGTAAGGCGGAACATAATAGTTTTATCATGCCAAAAAGCTGCTGTGTCGTTTATTGCACCTCAAACATTAAAACAAATCCCAATGTTTCTGTACTTCCTCTAAAGGCCCAGATACACCGGCCCGAAATCGGCAGTAAATGGGAGTCGGGCCGAACATGAGCGTGGGCACGCCCTATTCGGAGTGGTGTGTGCGCCGCACCGTCGGGTCTTTTCTGCCGACCTGACGCCTTTTCCTGCCGATTCAACATGTTGAATCGGGAACACCACCGGAAGTCGGACAAAGGGATAACACTGATTGGCTGTTCAGCTAGCGAATCAGTGCATGAGAAGCTTTAACGGAAGTGAGGGAGGTAAACAAATGATTTAAAATGGAAGATGGAACACACACGGACGGCTATTTCACCTCATCGGTTTATAGAGCTCCTGTTCGTTCATGTTTTCAATGCACGAGAGTGAAAATGGAAAGAAAAACGCTATTTGTTGTTTGTTTATATCACGGAGTCTGTTCTTCTTCTCTGTCTTTCCGGTTGTTCCTCTTTTGAATGATGAATACACACTACCGCCGCCTGCTGGTAAGGAGAGTTATTGCCACTCACGCATACGCAGTTCATACGTGCTCGGCTCG